TCACATATACTAATGTGCCACAAACAGGACTTTAATATCACCAACCATTCCCATGTTATGACGGTGTATCCATATAAATGGCGCACCCTGTACAATGGGAGGCAGAGCCTTTTCGTCAGATCAGCGATACACGGCTGCTCATAGGGGGCCGTCTGATTGTTGGGTCTTTGCCTCACAGTATAAAGCACTTTGAGGTGAATATTATTGAGGTTCTGTGCTGTATAAATAAAACTGAACCACTGTTGGACTTCACAGGGTGACACTGCGCACTCCAAACCGGCCCCGTGTCACTGAACCAGTAACGGGGGCCCCAGCAGAGGTGAGGCTGTGGCTCTGGCTGGAATAGAGGCTGGTTGTTCCTGTGGGTGTTTTCCTATGAGCTCATGTCCTGACTGACAGACGGAGAGCTGCTGTAAGGCAGAAACAAAACAAGCAATATTATTATTGTTATTACAGCACCACCAGTTTCTTAAGTTCCTCTCACCGCAGGAGTCAGCTTTCACAAATGCTCATAATGATCTGCTCTGTCACAGTTTAAGGAAACGGGAGCTGACGGCCGGCGTTTGATGCCAGCGGGAGCTGTAGGTTTTATTCCTTTTAAAAAGTGAACAACAAAGGTGTGCAAAGGAGGATTTTGCAGCTCACCAACAGGTGCCAGCTAATATTTTTGTTAATGGTACATAACAAAACTCATAAACTCAGTTTGTTTGGACCTGGGTTTGTTTTTATGTTGTCAACTGTTTTTTTAACTGATAATCTGACAACGATGGACAAACACACAAAAATTATGGATGCATGTGTTCCAGTCATCCTTAATAAAAGGACTCAGGTCAAGCCAAACTGGAAACATCTCAGAACCAGCTTCCACCAGAGCTATGAGAAAGCCTCCATCTGCAGCTTTCAGCCGTTCCTGCATGAACCGGGTTCTCCCCAAAGCAGAACAAAGACAGGAACTGTTTACAGGTCTAATCACGGCGATCAGGCCCGGACTCTGACACCGCATTAACGCTGTCCTTATCTGAAGCGCACAATGAAAACATGGCTTCCAGCTCCATTAACACATGGTGGGTGGAAACAAACAGCGCATTCCTGCAGCGCATGGCTGATAGACGTGCGCCTTTTATCCATCAGCACCAACATATCGACTCCGCTCAGGTTATTAGAGAAAATAATGATCCACACATAGTGGTATGTGAGGCGAATACACGGTTACTCTTACTGTGCCCAAACATGATCGGGCACATTAAGAGCGCTGTGAAATCTGTAACACCACACCAGAATTTTCACCTTTTTTTTTTATTTTTTTGGCATTTTAGCCTTTATTGGATAGAGAGAGGCAGGAAAACAGGGAAAGAGAGAGAGGAAGACATGCAGCAAAGGGTCGGACTGAAACCCAGGCCACTACATGCAGCACATAGTTGCTGAGCACCCACTGAGCTAATCTGGCACCCTTTTTATATGAAATTATATGAAAAAGCCAATACGGCAACCTTAGAGTGCAAAGGGTGCATCATAAAGATTGTTTGTATTTTACTTAAATTTATTTCAGAGTCAACCTCCACCTTTGGTTATTGTCTCATCAGCATCAGGTCCAGTATTGGACACAATTTTGTCTTTTGTGCTATTTTATCAAACTTTGGCCCGTTCTTGATTTCTTCGTGTTTTTGCTTGTTTCTCACACTTAAAGTTACAGTGTGTAAAATCTCACCACTAGATGTCAGCAGATTGCAGTTATGTTTTCTTGCACTCCCACTGTAGCATAATCCTAGCTACAATGGCTGCTGTAGGACAAAAAGCTCTCATTCATCTGTGCTGAGTGTAGGCTGTCAGTCCGCTGCTTACCTCAGCTGTTAGTATGTGTCCACGTCTACGTACTCTGGATATGAGTCGATTTGAGCGGGTGACGCTCACGTCTGTCTGATGACAGTGTCACTAAAGCTAGTTGTTGAGTATACCCTGAACTTTTCTGTCTTTTCTGTATTAATTATACATGTGATTAACAAACTATTTAATTTTTTTTATCAAGTTGGTTCCATTAATTGTTGAAACATTAAATACATTAATAAATAATTCAATCAATTTATTTTTGCACTCATGGCCCTCAGTGTTTATTTTTGCTGCTGTTAGCTGCCATTAGCTGCAGTAAACTCCTGTTTGCCTCTGTTCTCTTTCTCTTTGATCCCTAGCTGGCGTTGGGTCTGGATCGACTCCTAAGCCCATACACTGCTGCGGGTGCCAATGGTTGTAGAATTTCCTTCACAACTCGTTGCCATGCATGGCGATCGTTGGCGATTGTCCTGGCCTCATCAAGATTTATTCTGCCCCTGATGTCATCTTTGACCTGTTTTAGCCATGTTTTCTTCGGTGCCGTTCGATGGATTCTCTACTGGGTGGGTCGTTTACGCCAGAGGAGTTGATGTGGTAGTTTCCTCCCATCCATTCAACACACATGGCCAAACCATCGCAATCAGCGTTTTTGAATTTGCCCCTCAATTGGCGGTTGGTTGTCGCATCTCCGTCGGATGTCCTTGTTTCGAAGGCGGCCTCGAAGTGATACTCGTAATATCTGTCGAAGGCAGCGTATCTGGAAAACTTCAAGTTTGTTGAGGTCTTCTTTGAGCACCGTCCATGTTTCAGATCCATAGAGTAAAATCAGCAGGATCAGCGTCCGGAAAAGGCGGATTTTGGTCAAGATGGAAATATTGGTTTGCTTCCACAGTTTTCTAACAATAACTTCATGTATTAAAGGGGGGAAAAACTATCCTTTCCAAAGAGTAAAGTTAATAAATTTCCAACTTAACAGCGGCTGCAGTTACTTTTTCACACAGGGCTTTAAGGAGATTTTTTCCCTTCATAAACAAAATCATCATTAAAAAACTGCATTTTGTATTTACCTGGGTTAGCTTTATCTAATATTAAAACTGTCTGACATGTAAGTGTAAAAAAAACATTCAAATAACTGACATCACTGACCTGTCAGGGTGTTGAAATGGACGCTGTACTGCCCCTTCTGGGTGTGGAATGTCTTCACACTTGTTTTCAGCGAGGAGGATGAGGAAGCATTAAAAGGGGAGGTTGCACTGTGAACTTTATTCGTCTCCCTCTCAATGTGCTTCATCAGCAGGGCGGCCATCTTGTCACCTCTTCCTCCCTGTGACAGAGTCTTTCTCAGCAGCACTGCCTGGACCTCTCTCAGGCTGTTACATACATTATATAACAGTGAACACATAATATGTAGTCAATAAACACAAAAAATACATAAACAAAAAATTTACTTTAAATATACACAAAAACTATCATTTACAATGTAAGAATATATGATTACAATTTTACCATCAGACTAAATAACACTAACAGCTGAACAGCAATCACACTAACAGCTGAACAGCAATAACACTAACAGCTGAACAGCAATAACACTAACAGCTGAACAATAATGGCACTACAAGCTGAACAGTAATGGCACTACAAGCTGAACAGTAATAACACTGACAGCTGAACACTAACAGCTGAACAGCAATAACACTAACAGCTGAACAGTAATAACACTAACAGCTGAACAGTAATAACACTAACAGCTGAACAGTAATAACACTGACAGCTGAACACTAACAGCTGAACACTAACAGCTGAACAGGAATAACACTAACAGCTGTAACAGCAATAACACTAACAGCTAACACTAACAGCTGAACAGCAATAACACTAACAGCTGAACAGTAATAACACTGACAGCTGAACACTAACACTGAACACTAACAGCTGAACAGAATAACACTGAACAGCTAACACTAACAGCTGAACAGGAATAACACTACAGCTGAACAAACAGACTGAACACTAACAGCTGAACAGCAATAACACTAACAGCTGAACACTAACAGCTTAACACTAACAGCTGAACACTAACAGCTGAACAGCAATAACACTAACAGCTGAACAGCAATAACACTAACAGCTGAACAGCAATAACACTAACAGCTGAACAGCAATCACACTAACAGCTGAACAGCAATAACACTAACAGCTGAACAGCAATAACACTAACAGCTGAACAGCAATAACACTAACAGCTGAACAGCATAACTAACACTGAACAGGCTAACACTAACAGCTGAACAGTAATAACACTAACAGCTGAACAGTAATAACACTAACAGCTGAACAGTAATAACACTAACAGCTGAACAGTAATAACACTGACATGAACAACTAACAGCTGAACAGAATAACACTAACAGCTGAACAGTAATAACACTAACAGCTGAACAGTAATAACACTAACAGCTGAACAGCAATAAATAACAGCTGAACAGCATAACACTAACAGCTGAACAGCAATAACACTAAAAGCTGAACAGATAACTAACACTGAACAGCAATAACACTAACAGCTGAACAGCGAATAACACTAACAGCTGAACACTAACAAACGCTGAACACATAACATACGCTGAACACATAACACTGCTGAACAGACACTAACAGCTGAACAGTAATAACACTAACAGCTGAACATATAACAGCTGAACAGAATAACACTTAACAGCTGAATTAACACTAACAGCTGAACAGCAATAACACTAACAGCTGAACAGTAACACAGCTGAACAGCTAACATAGCTGAACACATAACATAGCTGAACACATAACACAGCTGAACAGCAATAACACTAACAGCTGAACAGCAATAACACTAACAGCTGAACAGCAATAACACTAACAGCTGAACAGCAATAACACTAACAGCTGAACAGCAATAACACTAACAGCTGAACAGTAATAACACTAACAGCTGAACAGAATAACACTAACAGCTGAACAGCAATAACACTAACAGCTGAACAGCTAAGCTAAAGTAAGACACTAACAGCTGAACAGTAAACACTAACAGCTGAACAGTAATACACTAACAGCTGAACAGCAATAACACTAACAGCTGAACAGCAATAACACTAACAGCTGAACAGCAATAAGGCACTAACAGCTGAACAGCAATAATGGCACTAACAGCTGAACAGCAATAACACTAACAGCTGAACAGTAATAACACTAACAGCTGAACAGTCAATAACACTAACAGCTGAACAGCAATAACACTAACAGCTGAACAGCAATAACACTAACAGCTGAACAGCAATAACACTAACAGCTGAACAGCAATAACACTAACAGCTGAACAGCAATAACACTAACAGCTGAACAGCAATAACACTAACAGCTGAACAGCAATAACACTAACAGCTGAACAGCAATAACACTAACAGCTGAACAGCAATAACACTAACAGCTGAACACTAACAGCTGAACAGAATACACTGACGATAACACTAACAGCTGAACAGCAATAACACTAACAGCTGAACAGTCAATGACACTAACAGCTGAACAGCAATAACACTAACAGCTGAACAGCAATAACACTAACAGCTGAACAGCAATAACACTAACAGCTGAACAGAATAACACTAACAGCTGAACAGCAATAACACTAACAGCTGAACAGGTAATAACACTAACAGCTGAACAGCAATAACACTAACAGCTGAACAGCAATAACACTAACAGCTGAACAGCAATAACACTAACAGCTGAACAGCAATAACACTAACAGCTGAACAGCAATAACACTAACAGCTGAACAGCAATAACACTAACAGCTGAACAAATAACACTAACAGCTGATATATAGATAGATAATCACTATGACACAAGCAATAACACTGAAGCAAAGCTAACATAATACACTGACAGCTGAACACTAACAGCTGAACAGTAATAACACTAACAGCTGAACAGCAATAACACTAACAGCTGAACAGTAATAACACTAACAGCTGAACAGTCAATAACACTAACAGCTGAACAGCAATAACACTAACAGCTGAACAGCAATAACACTAACAGCTGAACAGCAATAACACTAACAGCTGAACAGCAATAACACTAACAGCTGAACAGCAATAACACTAACAGCTGAACAGCAATAACACTAACAGCTGAACAGCAATAACACTAACAGCTGAACAGCAATAACACTAACAGCTGAACAGAACACCAATAACACTAACAGCTGAACAGCAATAACACTAACAGCTGAACAGCAATAACACTACAGCTGAACAGTAATAACACTGACAGCTGAACACTAACAGCTGAACAGCAATAACACTAACAGCTGAACAGGAATAACACTAACAGCTGAACAGCAATAACACTAACAGCTGAACAGCAATAACACTAACAGCTGAACAGCAATAACACTAACAGCTGAACAGCAATAACACTAACAGCTGAACAGTAATAACACTAACAGCTGAACAGCAATAACACTAACAGCTGAACAGTAATAACACTAACAGCTGAACAGCAATAACACTAACAGCTGAACAGCAATAACACTAACAGCTGAACAGCAATAACACTAACAGCTGAACACTAACAGCTGAACAGCAATAACACTAACAGCTTAACACTAACAGCTGAACAGCAATAACACTAACAGCTGAACAGCAATAACACTAACAGCTGAACAGTAATAACACTGACAGCTGAACACTAACAGCTGAACAGCAATAACACTAACAGCTGAACAGCAATAACACTAACAGCTGAACAGCAATAACACTAACAGCTGAACAGCAATAACACTAACAGCTGAACAGCAATAACACTAACAGCTGAACAGCAATAACACTAACAGCTGAACACTCTGAACAGTAATAACACTAACAGCTGAACAGTAATAACACTAACAGCTGAACAGTAATAACACTGACAGCTGAACAGCAATAACACTAACAGCTGAACAGTAATGGCACTACAAGCTGAACAGTAATAACTGATAGCTAGCAGATAGCTAATTAGATAAGTTCATTTAATAGTAAGTTAATAGTAAGTTATTAAGTTAATCTTTTATAACTTTAATTGTAGTTAGCATCTTTTAAAATAATTTTATTCATATTTACTATCTTTCTAAAACTTCAGCCACTGTTAGCATGTTTTTAGAGAGGTTTTGCAGACACGTGACCACTTAGTGCTTGTCAGCCATTTTGCGTGTGTAACAATCTTGACACCTCAAGTTAGTGAAACACATACCAAATATTATGCAGATAAGATAAACTATGGCAACTATGAGTAAACAAGTGTTGGTGTGAAGTCCCTGGCACTTTCCCGGACTTCATGCCACATGATTTATATCATTATGTTATCAACGATCCCTCAAATTATACTGGAGAAGATCTGAAGCCCAACAAAATTTTGCACGCTTACTAGTATTTTGTGTCAAGATAGGTAACAAACATCAGTCACTGAACTCTGCCTGGAATTGCAGGCACTTGAATGAGTGGACCACGGTCACTGATCACTGCTTAGACATTTGCTTGATTTTTTATGACATTTTGACATGTCTCTGCGTATTATTCCTTACACTGTCGACGAGTCAGCCTCGCTGATTGATGACAGTGACACTGAGGTAAATTGTTGATGAGAACTGTTGTAATTTTCTGTCAGTAAGCACTGCTGTTTTTGCCTGTTAGCTGCTGTTAGCACCTGTTTGCCGTTGTTACTGAAAACCTTTGTGAAGTGGCTCTAACTTGGGCACATTCCCACTTAGCTAAAAACTCTCATTTGATGTGAGAATATAATTAAGCTGTTTTTCAAACTAAAAGTACTTTTAGGATGCTGGAGCCTAATTTCAGCTGGCATGATGTTAGCTTGTAAAATTATGTTGTTGTTCAGCTGGCCAGGTACTGAGGGCAGCGTGTCTGATATATTTTTAGTCTTCTTTTAAAAAAAAGAAGAAAAAAAAAAGAAGCTGTTTTCACAGGAAATCAAACAGAATGTCAGTTACAGATTATACATCTGACCCAGTGTAGCTCCAGTGTTATGCTTTCCTAGGGCAGTAAACTGAGAGAATGATTTCAAGTGGCCATAAATAGAGTGATAGAAAACAGTGGTGCAGCAGCAGCAGAGTGAACAAACAGCACAGATTAATCTGCTGGAGCTGATAACCACAGAGACGCCCTACAGTCTGATGCAAAGTTTATTTTTCATTCCTGAACTTAAATGTTACAGCTGCCACTTTGTCGCTTTTTATGAGCCACAAAAAGCACATTACAGACAAAACCGGCTCTAGATTTAGAGCTCTGGAGAGATCTGAAAAGCCTGTTCCAAACATGCAGCTTCTGAACATTATTTTAACTAGAAGGAAAAATATAACTTCAACCAGTTTAACCCTCTGGGGGGGGGGGGTCAAACTTCTTCCAACCAAAGACTCTCTAAATACTCGAGAACTCCCACTTTCTGGAGTTCCTGTCCATAGGATGTTCTTTCAAACTTGTATGGACTGATAATTTAAATTTTGTGGGGTTAACCTTTTACTTCATCGTGCTTTTAGTTTAGACACGTAAATCAGTGCTGGATTTATTAAAAGTAAAATGAATTGCTGTAAATTCAAAAAGCTGTACTTTCAAGATTGTTAGTTAGACCAACGGGTTTTTGAAGCGTAGCCTGTAAAGGTGAGTGCGTGCTCAAAATGATGAGTTAACATCGTTTGGTAAGTGACACGATGTTGACAATATTGATCCGATCCTTACTCAAAATGCTGGATCAGATATCAGCAACCAGATCTATCACATCTGAGTCCGTGTTGTTCTAAGTTTACTTCATCAGAAATGCTGAATGTTTTTTTTAACAACTCATTCATTTCACACTGCATCAGTACAAAGGTACCAACAGACACCTGACGGTAAGGTGTTGGTAAAAACCTTCCTCATCAAGAGGAAGTTTCTCAAGCCGTCCTCAGGATGATGTCAGCTTAAGACACTGAAACCACACCGAACACCGACCTGATCTTAATGCAGGTTTGATGTGCAGATAGAAAAAAGAACTTTAGGTTTTTGTTGAAAAATAAGTGTTGATGAATTATTAAATCCTTGTTTAGTCATACCGAAATTATCAGCAGATACCCAAAGCCATGATTTCAAACCAGAGAAGGAAAGAGATGAATTGCTGACACTCTGTCCCAGATCAGAGGGGTTCGGTGTTTATCCAAAATCTACACAAACTCAGAGGCATCCTTAGTAACCCTCTTGTTGTTGTGATGAAAAAAGTCTTTACTGTGAAAAACTTCTGTTTAATCTGCAGCAGACAGAACATAAAACATTCTCCCACAGCCTGTAGGGACCATGGCTCTAACCTTTGACCTCCACCACCTGACCTATGACTCAAGGGTTGTGCTGACTTTCAGTTTGTGAATCTGGATTTCAGCAGAGGTCAGACTCTCCAGAGAAGTGAAAGCTTAGGTCTTTCTTCCCATCTCCTCATCTGGATCTGAGGTGACGGATTTGTGGAACAAAGATCAGGATGGATGGAGAAGTTTTCCCAGCTGATTCTGGAACATTTAACAAATTTTAGAGCCTCCAGCAGCTTCAGGAAGTAGTGCCTGATCTTTGTACAACATACAGTGCACAGTACAGCGTATATAATCAAATAAAGAACTCCACCTGGTGTCTGAACAGAGAACGGCACTGACTGTGCAGTGATGATGAGGAAGAAGAAAAAGCAGGAGAGAGAAGGACAAAGAGGAGCTACAAAACAGCTGGTTAAACTCTCCAGATACTAAGGAAAGGTGCCTCAGTGCATCCTTCATCATCTCCTTTAGCAAAGGAGACACTGGAGGATCCTTTGTGAAAGGAGAGGGGATTAGACTGTCCCCCCACCTTAAACACGCTCTGAGCTTAAATAAAGAGAGTTACAGAGTTAAAGTTTCCCATCAAGGTCGAGAAGAGTGGACCAGAAAAGACTCAGGAGGGATTTTATTTTTGTGACCCAGGACAGAGGAGTGGAAACAAGGAGGTTAGGAAAGGAAAAAGAGGAGATGAGAAGATAAAGAAGATGAGTTTTTTGTTACCTCAGCTTTTTTGCTCCCGCCATCTTTTTCTCATTCCCCTCATTCTGATCCTCCTCGTCCTGTCCTGGATCAAACTCGGGTGGAGGCATTTCGAAAGTGCCTGGTCTCCTCTCCTCTGCTTCAGATCCAGAATCAGAACTCTGATTGGAGGCTGTCAGCCCTTCATCTGGATCTGGATCGAACCGGATTACAGTGGGATATTTTGGGGAGGCTTGGTTCTCCTCACGAGTCAGAAACCGCTTGGAAACACCTCCTCCACTGTCAGCTCCATCATTCTCTTCAGTTTGACCTCCAAAGCCTACAGCTTTGGCAGGACCAGAGTCAGGGACCTTTGTGTCCTCCTCTCCATCAGCCTGAGCAGAAGTCGGGTTCGGGTCTGAAGGTTCAGGTGGAGGTTCGGGTGGAGGTGAGCTGGCAGCAGGTTTGGTGCTTCTCTGGGGGCTCAGAGCTGGTTGTGGTGGGATCCGGAGGGGTCTGAGGTGGACCGGGAACTCTGTCGGGTGGATGGATGTCAGCAGGCGTCCTGGTGCAGAAAGGGGCAGCTGACAGCGGTAACCATGGAAACCTCGTCTGCACACGCACCTGTTAAACTGTCGACACAGCGCCCCGTTACGGCAGGGAGGAGAACACCTGGCTGAAGAAGAAGGAGAGCGCGCTTCATTAACAGAACATTACTGCAGCGTAGACAGCAGTCAAACACCCTGATGTAACAAAGCCGGGCCGATCTCACTGTGAAACCAGCAGCTCATTGGCTAATGGACCATCAGTCATAAGTCATTAGCTAATGGGCATACCACAAATAATCCTCCATTTGAAATGTAGACTTATTATTATTCAATGTGACCCACAACGACAGTCTGAGCCCCAAACTCAGCAGGAAGATGTCTACAGGGGTCAACAAAAAGCTGTTTTCTATGTCTGTTTGCACAGTTATTGCCATCTGGTGGCTTTCAGGCAGAATGCAGCTGTAACACTTATCATTACGCACTTTGTAGCTGAAAGACGGGTTGGTAACATGATCAGGTATAAAAAGAGCATGTTTAGGAGGCAGAGTTTCCTAGAAGGACAGATGAGCAGAGGCTGACCACTCTGCAAAAATCTGCGCCTTCAAACTAGAACAGTTTCACAATAATGTTCCTCACTGTGAACATATATATGTATATAGATATATATAGCACATCTCTCTCTGTGAGCGTCAGCAGCACTGCATTAAAACATCAGTGCATGTGCTGAGGAACACTTCCAGAAACCAGCGTCTGTGAGCAGCTCGACCTGCAGGTTACTGCTGCATCACTCAATCACTCAGAGAGACACCTTTAAAACTGATCTGAGGTCAGACCCAGATTTGGGGGGGGGGGCTGAGATTAAAACAGGTTTTTAACTCTGCAGTTTCTCAGGATAACCAGCGTTTTATTCTTTTATTCTCTTTGGTTTGATCTGCATTTCCTGTCTGACAAACAGAAACTCAGCGCCAGCGTTTCCCTCTGTGAGTCTGCAGACCAACTGCTCAACAATGTGACTAAACACAAAACTTCACTCTGCACGCCCTGAGCTCTGTGTGTGTGTGTGTGTGTGTGTGTGTGTGTGTGTGTGTGTGTG